AAACTCCACGGCTGCCCATTAGTTTCAGCCATGTGACAAAGTATGGACACAATGAAACTTGCTGGCCTCTCTGTTGTCTATCAGCAATAGTGTCACTTGAATACCATCAATTTTATTCCAGATATCAATATATTTTTGAATTTTGTTACACAAGTTTAAGGATCTGGTAACATTGTAAGCTCAAACAAGGTAATCAGAGAGAAACACTTCTCAAAGGAAAAGATTTGGATGGTGGTTGGGTTGTTGTTTAACGCCCCACTCAGCAATATTCCATCTATATGGCAGCGGTGTGTAAATAATCGAGTTTGGACCAGACAATACAGTGATCAACAGCATGAGCATTGATCTACGCAAATGGGAAACCATGACATGTGTCAACCAAGTCAGCGAGCCTGACCACCCGATCCCGTTAGTCGCCACTTACGACAAGGATGGGTTGCTGAAGATAAATTCTAACCCGGATCTTCATGGGTCAGAAGTTAAAGAGCTCCTGATTCTTTCATATTTGCCATACTTATTCTGTCACATTACAACTTGATATCCTCATCAACCAAGGATCATAATCCAGGTAAACATGGCACCAAGTCTCATGTGTGTAATTGTCCCTTCGCACCAGAAACAGGGATTACATCAGTCACTAAAGAAAATATGAAGGTCAACAAATAATCCATCCAGCTGATTTCGTATCATTTTTATTGAAAATATATATTTTAGTAAATCATGTATTTCTGAACAAATCATTGCAATTCACATAAACATCATATAAAAGTTCGAAATGTACAGAATATTGAAATGGTGATAAAAACAGAAATGTGCTCCTGAAATATTGCACAAATGACTCGAAGCAATAAGCAGCAATATGTGTTGACAGCCGCAGACAAGACCACTCCTGTAAACCATCTCTTGTATTATTAACTTCCAGACAAGAATTGGAGGAAGTTTCTATCCAATTAACCACATATTTTTTCAAATATTTATCACTATTTCAGAACTAGCCCTCCCCACACCCTTCCGGAACACACCCGATACCATTGACTTCATAATTATATTATCATGAACCTATGTGGGGCTATCAAGAGTGACATGCATTTATAAATACATATTTATTCTCAAAAATTATATTTTCTTCGGGGCACTGTCCACTCACAGGAAACAGATAACTCTGTCAAGTACAGTTTTTGTTATTGTTATTTATCTTGTGCTGTGTTCCTCTTCAGGGCTTTACCCAAAACCTGTTTGTAGGATTAAAACAATGTTTTGTTATTGTTTGTTACCCCACATATACCTGGGCTACACTGACAAGCTATAATTCTATATACAAGCTGTACTTGATGTACTGCCAGACTCTCAAACAAAACATATTGTATATTACCGTCAACATAATCTTTATCAATAATCCATTGTGGTGGGATATTAAAGCAAAAAGTAAAAAAAAATGGCAGAATGAAAACTAGCCCTCTATCAACATCCTTACAGCTAATATAAACAAAGCTTAAGCCAGTCTCCTACATACAACATATACAGGATGTTAACAATATTACCCACAAAGGTCAATCTCCAGACAATTACAGGTCCTAACTCTGCAGTTAAGTGATTCTCAATGCTGATTGGTGAGTTCAAGTAATATGATAATACCCTAAAAATAATCCGTTCTTGTGATCAACAGGTGGACCGGACTTAGTTCAAGTTTTTCTGTATGGTGAGGTGAGGTGAGGTGAAATTGGGTTTTACTTCGTGCTTGAGAATATTTCGCTTATATAATGATGTGCATGCATGTGTATGTGTATGTGCTGCTGCTTGTACTAGCCCAGACTTAAGCTGTTTTTTATAGTGCTAGCCCACTGAGATACCATGCCGCAGTGAAGCATGAATACCACACTCAGACACATTATACTGACTCCCGAGGCGACCAGTCCTTGTTGTACCCATTAATGCCGAGCGCCAGGCAGGGACCAACAAGTACCATATTTTAACGTCTGTTGGTATGACGCAGTTGGGGATCGAACCCGCGACCTTCCGCTCTCCAGGCAGACGCTCTAACCACTACACCACGGAGGCGGTTCTTCTGTATGGTTACATTATATATACTTTTCTGCATGTTTTCTGTACTATTCAATGATCAACATCTACACAGAGACCTCAGCCTTCCACTCTATAGGCGACTTGACCATCAAGGTGTTTGACAGAGAAGAGTATAATACTTAGTACTACAGAAGCCATCACAATGGTCAACCACTGATAAACAGAGGCTATTAGAAATTGCAATCTCATTAACATCTGACTGTTTACTCTATGTAATGCAGAGATGCCAACACTAATTTAGCCCAATTAGTATTTTGGCCAAAAACTGATGCAAAAATTAGTATTTTGGGGCCAAAATTAGTATTAACTTTTCCAAAGAATTTTCATATTAAAAAAAAATAGTATGTAAATATATAGTCTAAGACCTTGTTATTAACATTGTACTCATCTAAATAAGCCTTATAGTGAATAAATTATGGTTGAAATATATTGTGTATGGTATGTATGCTATTTTATACTTTAATTTAATGTTCTATTTTTAAAAATTCATATATTTATACTGCTATGGTAGTCGCGTATTTTGTGTTGTTTTTTCGTAATGAATACGATAAAATCATATGGGTTGGCATCTCTGTATAATGCCCAAAACTACCCGCGTGAAGATCTCAAAACCCTGAAGGGTGTATCACCTAGACGTTGACTGCCCATTACATGGAGATGCCATGGCGCATGGAAATGGCTGCCTTCATACACAGCCAAACTGTAAGATGTATTCAGAAAAAGACGTTAAGTTGGATTTCAAGCTACAGAAATCAGACTCACTGTTTTGAATGCTTTGCTTCCATGAATTTGAAGCCATGATGTTGATCTGACAGGTTGATAGATCAAGCAAAGATGTATCATATCACAGTAAAAGATCTGTCTTCAGTTACATAAAGGTGCTGGACAGTTAGCTGTGTAGTGAGTGAGTGAGTGAATGAGTTTAGCTTTATGCCGCACTCAGCAATATTCCAGCTATATGGCGGCGGTCTGTAAAGAATCGAGTCTGGACCAGACAATCCAGTCATCAACAGCATGAGCATCGATCTGCGCAATTGGGAACCGATGACATGTGTCAGCCAAGTCAGCGAGTCTGACCACCCGATCCCGTTGGTCGCCTCTTACGACAAGCATGGGTTACTGAAGATCAATTCTAACTCGGATCTTCACAGGTTAGTTAGTTGTGTAAAATATGTATTAATTAATAAATCTTTGGCAATCTTGGACTACACATTTACATCCATCTACCCCTGGCAGAGGCGTACATCACAGGACAATCGTGCACAAGAATCACCGAACACAAACGTTACCCAGAACCTACAGCTTGTTCAGCTTGACCTGAGCTACTCTACATATGCATGATCCGGGAGGTCAAATGGCACAAACGGCAGGTCGAGTTAACTTCCTTAAATAGGGGAGCAAATAATGTTATTAATGTTGCTGCTCGCTGCCTTAAAGCTCGAATCGGAAACAATAAGCCATCTGAAGTTTCTTTTTTAAAGAAAGTTAGGACATTGCTGAAGATTTCTCTACACTGAGGTGTCAAAGGGCGACCTTGTCTCGACTGTTCGGACATGTTGACAATCAATGCACCCCTTCACAATAATAGACCCAACCAGTTGTGACACGGTCACGCAATGCATTAGTATTCACTTGATCAGGTCAAGCTGAACCAGCTGTACATCTGTATACAGAATGTCTTCGTTTTTCCTTGGATCGAAAACCCATTTCAATATGCATATTCAATATAAACAAGAATATAGAAAACACGTCAAAATGATCAAAATATTTTAGAAATATGAATGATGCTCACATTCTGAAATGAAATCAAGTAAGGTCTATTGATGATCCCTTTTCCACATTACACAGACAGACCAAACTGTCTATTTCACTGTTTAAGGTTTAAACACTCTTTTCAGAAATATTTTCACAGAATGGTCCCATAGAAAACACACTAATACAATGGGTAGCTACATGACACCGTTTCGGCCTATGTTCTTATCCTCAACCCAGACATTTCAAAGAACACTTTGTGACTATGTACAGAAGTTGTTGTAATAGTGATAACACAGGAGACTACATAACATGAATGGCATTTCTAGCTTTACCATCACGTAAACACAACCTAAAGCAGCTGGTTAGGAATGCCAGGTAGAGACCAGGGCTTAGATTTTCGAAGCTCTCTTAGTGCTAAGATATGTAGGTTAGTGTTAATGTATGACACTTACGACTATATTAGCGCTAAGAGAGCTTCGAAAATCTAGGCCCTGGGTCTACAAATGACTTATGATACAATGTCAGTCTGGGTTATGGTAATTCACAAAACAAGAGATCATTGTTGTATGATTACAAAAATAGACTCCGACAGGTGCGTAGCTACCATTATAAAAAAAAGGGGGGTTACACATGACTGTTGCTAAGAAGGTGGGCAAGCTCTCAATGCTATCTAAATGTAAAGCTTTGCAACCTATCGAGCTTACAAGAAAAAATTTGGCTTGCTATGCACCTGTCAGAAACCATTGTACAGTATACATGACACTGTTTCTTCACTATGGTTCACTAATCTTTCTATGTATAGTCAAATTATCACATCGTTTGTGAGTTTGGTTTAAAACCACTTTCAACAGTATTTCAGTTATATCATGTCAACTTGAAGATGGTGGAAAGCTGGAGGTGATGCAAGTCTTAGACGCTTACCACCTTGGTGAAATCCATACAAGGCTATGGTGATGACAAACCCTGTAACATAATGAGGGCAGACAGAGGACATGAACCCATGACTATAGGTTCATGGTACACCCAAGGGACACGACTCTGTACAGTCAATTGTGGCACCTCTGACAACTGTTCTGTAAATGCCCTCTCCTGATCTTAACCTACTCAAACATGATGTATGTGGTGTTTCATCCCTTTAACAGCGCTAATTGCAATGGACAAAGGTATAATGATGGTGCAAAGACACAGGTTAATCTGGAATTCTTAATGGACTTTCCAAAGGGAGACAATTCAATGTTCGAAAAATTCAGACTGATTACATGAAATATTTATAAATGAGTTGTTGCGCTTCACAAAATACCGGGACCAAATCAACTGGTCATGTTAACGATGTTAACTACTTTTCCATCAACTATGTTTGTGCATGGTTCTGTGGGCTTTGGTCAGTGGTCCAGTGTGTGTTGTTTAGGCTGACCACACATAGAAGTATACCTTTTGCCACGTGGGAAGGTACGCCAAAAGGGGCCCTGTGGAAGAAATCAGAATCAGTTACCATGGCGATGATCAAAACAGACATGATCTGATAATCAGACAGTGTGCTAGTTATTTGTCAACATTACCACAACCTGCATCAGCCTATAGGCATAAATTCACCAGAGCTCCAGATAAGATTTAGCTCATGTGGGTACTGTACCCAACGTATTTTTTGGGAGTGGGTATTATGAATGTTGAGTGGGTATTTCATTTTCCGTTACCCACTGCTTTCAAATATGTGCGTATTTCAGTCATTTTACTCACCTAAGTATTATGTCATTGAGTAAGTTTACTAAGCAGGTATGTTCTGCCTTATGTCATACCTAATCAAAACCAACTTAAATATAATGGAAATGATTTCATAAAAAATCCCTCATCCTATACTGACAGTTCTATACAAGTTCTATAGTAACAGTACAACGTGATAGCAATCCATGTCTTTTTCATTACGCAAGCGTTTTTTATAAATATATTTCGTACGCATTAGTTTTAAACATTTTGCGTATCTAACATTTTAAATGCGTAATTGGTATGCAACAATTATTTTTCAATGCGTAATTGGAAATTTTCTATGCGTATTTTACCCGTATACGCAGCTTATCTGGGCCTCTGAACATTAACACAACCTGCATCAGCCTACAGGCTTAAATTCACTATGTTTTTCAATCATACATAGCTCTTTTGTTGCTGTATTTAACCAACAATGTAAACAAATGTTTAGTTTCTGCAAGACACAAGAAACAACAAATGGTGCCAACCCTCTTTTGTATGTCAAATACCTGCCCCTGTATTCCACAGACACCAATGCAGGATGTTTGATGCCATTAAATGTTTATAAAGTTCTTTTGGTGTGTGCATGCCAATATTTAAGTGATGAAATTAATTTCAGGGTATGTTTTGTTCAAAAAGAGACAGATCAATCAAGAATTTAGCTGATTATTACGAGCATTGTCCAGAATTCTATGTGAAAATCAGTGACTAATTATTTGAACCAACTCTGACCACTGATACGACTAGAGAGACACGCTGAATGTCTCCTGGCCGACTCACTGATCTGCCCTGGGATCTCTACAGGGGGAACACGATGGAATCCCCCTTTCATGTCTTATCGATGGCACTGAAGCTACACACACTTACTGATGAGCAAGGAGGTGCCAGGAATGTTATCAGCCAAGATCTTCATCAGGAATATTATCTTCGCTCTGCAACAAGACCACAGAATAGCAATTAGTTTCTTTGAAAATGGACAGTATTCTTCAGCCATGTTGCATCAAGGACAAACCACAGCATCATCAGTAGTCATACAATGATTTTTTTTGTGGTGTGTGTGTGTGTGTGTGTGTGTGTGTGTGTGTGTGTGTGTGTGTGTGTGTGTGTGTGTGTGTGCTGATTGGTTGAACAACATTACATGAGATTGGATTCTTGAAAACCTTTGGATTTGTCCCTAAGCATGAACACTTTCTTTGATAACTTAAATTTATTTAATATGTATTGTCTAACGTCTGTAAGAATCAAGTAAGAAGAGCTGATAAAAAGTGCTGACATCTTGTCGATTTTCAGATTTTTACATCATATTGTGTATTCAATGCCGGGGAATCTAACATATCTGAGAATACATGTACAGACTATCTACTTGCATGAATACTCAATGCCAATTTGAAAGCGGTCAAAAGTAACACATGTTATATTTCGGATTACAGTTTCTCAGAATTCCAGTACTTTAGTTGGGTGGAGACTGCTGTGGGTGAGTGGGTTAGATCGTGACCTTGTGTGCTGAGAGTGGGTTCGAATTCAGGATGGGACTCAACATAACAAAAGTAAAAGAATCTGTCCTGAGAAAGTGAAATCCGAAATATAACATGTTATATCTATGTGTACTGTGTGCTGACATCAGGGAAGGATGCTGACTGGATAATGTCTTCATATATATACATGTTAACATACTGTGAGTATCTGTCATAGAAGGGGGACCTCAGCAGGTAATAGAGCAGCATGAACGTCCTCCGCCGCAGTTCACCCTTCTCATTCTGGTTCAAGTCGGCCGGGTCGCCCATCATTGTCAAACTACACACAGAACAAAAACATGGTTAAAGTTGGCCTCCTTATAATGGTTGTCCATTTCAAAGTTTGTTTGTCTCTTGTTTCTTGCACTCAGCAATATTCCAAGGCTGTTGTTGACATGTCTTTATCTGTTTACATAGGTGATTCAAACGTTCATCAACATAAATACTGTTCTCCCATATTGTGCATTATAATGTATCAACTAATGTGTCTCCAATTCTTGAGAGAGACAACCATAGACAAAATATAATTATAAAATGATACAATTTCACCTGCCTACACTAACAATTTCTCACAAGACCAAAGATAGACTGTATCGAGATACAAAGAAGGGGAGACTACCTTAACCAAGAGTACAAAATCTCCTTTGACTGTAATATCAAGTCTGTATGCGAAATATGCATTATGTCGCAAGCTCACATTAAATCTCCAAATCATCATCATCATCATTATCATCATCAATACCAAGTAAGGATACGATATATGGATGAACACTAATGTACCCTGGGATTTTAAAATGGGGATCACATCAAAAGAATTCAACCATCCATCGACTGTGACCAAGGCTATTACATACCCCAGCTTACCATCATGTCATCCTACACTCCAGTGAGACTTAATCCTCCTGTGTTTTTACACAACTGGCTTCATTTGCATTTACCTTAGATCTCCTGCCGTGTATACTTAACAGTCTCCTGTAAAAATACTACTTAATAAGTGTATAATGCCTCCCTTCACTACCCTGTACATCACTTGCTTGATAACAATGTTAGAATCTACACAGAAACGTCGTTCCTCATTGTAAATAACAAAGGTGTTCATCAGTACATCTTATCCTCACTTAGTACTCACACTTCTGTATGCCTCTTGAAGAGGAACTGAAATATCCCCATAGCTTGCGTTTCAGTGAGTGAGGGGCAGTGGGGGAGTCTAATGGTCAAAGCGTTGGCTCGTCACGCCGAAGGCCCGGGTTCGAATCCCCACATGGGTACAATGTGTGAAGCCCATTTCTGGTGTCCCCCGCCGTGATGTTGCTGGAATATTGCTAAAAGCGGCGTTAAACCAAACTCAGTCAGTCAGTTTCAGTAAGTGACTCAGCATTATTTCCACAACATGACAGCAACCTCTAAATAATCAAGTCTGGACCAAACAGACTGGTCAGTGACAACAGCAACATCACCAGCTCCAATGCAATCTACCAGGTCTCGAGTCCGATCACTTTAGTCACGTTGTTCCACAAGCATGGGTTGAAGGAAATACAAACCTGGAATACTATGGTCCCACTTGTCTAATAGAGCTGACAAGTACCATAACCTAAGAGGACCACATGATCAACAACAAAGAAAATTCTCACCTTGAGATGTCCATCCCACATGAGATGAGCCAGGGTTTCCATGATGACAAGCCAAAACCATACATACTCATCACTGACACTCATTAAGAAATACATGACATTATGAATATTATGATTATGTTAATAATAAGAGATGAGATATGCCAAAAGGCCATTCTAAACAATATGCCCCTGGCTGGCAAACTGGCAAAGGTCATTGTAATGATTTTATTGAAAGCTATTTTTAGCCACCATGTTCAAGGTCAAAGAAGTTCATTCATCCAGCCCTACATCTATGTTGTACATGGTGTCTTTACAGTTTTACTTCAGTTCCAGAGTAATCATCATGAGTTTGATGAAAGTGTAACCCATACATTGGTCGACCCCTTTCGACAGACTGCTTGTTTGGAGCCTCAAACATTCGGCTTATCTACTGTCATATATACGGTATCAGTCAGATAATGAATAGTCAGTTATCATCTTGTTCAAAACTGTGATATCTTTAAAGTTCTCATTTTCTCATATTCAGAGAATTCTTACCACTGCAGTCAATACAGTCCTTTTCCTCTACACATTCTTGCCCTCGAAGAAATCACCAAAATATGGACTGGGCAATTTCAGTTTTCAATTTGACAATTGTTCTTGATATCAGCATTTGGTCTAGACAAATCCCAGAATGTAGATGCTCTAGTGATCACATTTCATTCCTGGCGTTTTGTAAAGATACAGATGGGTGGGTGTTAGATAGAAAATCATTATATCAGTCAGAACTCAGACCTTAATTTTTTGTAAATGTAAATTCAGCAATAAATGTACAAAGCAAATGACTTTTCAACTGATTAAAAATGACAAGCCACGAGTTACAAGGATACAGTGGACAATAGGTTTGACAATGTGAAGTGTCTCCGCCCACACTCTCTGGCGAGACAAGGGAGTTGGAGCCAGATCCTTTCTCCTCCCACCACGGGTATCTGTCTGGGTGGGGATGGCCCATGTCCTCATGCCCAGGGGAAGGGCTACAACGGGAGAACCCCACATCTTACACACAAAACATAATACACTCAAACACCTCAGCATCAATTTTGACATTGAAGTCACTTAATACTTCATTTCAACATAAAGTGATCTTTACAAGGACTATTAATATAGAAAAACAGTAAAAATAACATGTAAGAGTAATATTAGTCTGAAGATGAAACTCAATCAGTGAGCCATGCTTTCAACTGTAGATTGAAACTTTAACTCATTCGCTAATATACTACTCACACTTTGCTAATGATCACAGTAATTCACAACTTTACTTAAACGTAGATATATAATTTGAAATTGTATCCATGGATAAATAATACTATGGTAACCCAGGGGTGGAAATGACCTATTGCCCGACACTCGAGTCCAGTGGTTTTTTCTGTCGTGCAAGCAAATTTGTATATCACACTGTACCGGTGTCCAGTTGACTTTCCAATATTAATTATGTTGTTTATTTAAAAAATCAAAAAGAAAACGGCCGGTATAGTGGAACTATTATCAGGGCAAGTGATTTTACATGTGCCACTGTACCGGAGTACACTAGCAATTTTGAAGTTACTTCCACCCCTGTAACCCCCGCTTTAGGCAAACAGCAGGGATTGGGATAGAGAGCTTTGACAATGAGCCATTTTCAGAAATATTTACCATACCAGAATTTAATGGGCCATTTTTTATTCTAATGTGCAAAATGACCCAGGGCCTCTGCCTTTCCCAATCCCTGAAACAGTCACTTTAATCTAACCTTATGCACTTGATACATGAGTAACCATTGAAATGGCTTTCATGGCACCAATGAACCATTTTGCAAATCAAATCATTGACAAATACACAACAGCTGTCAATAGCAGGTATAGGTTCCACAAGATGAAATGACAAACTGAAACCTAGGATCCATGCTTACAAAAAGCTTACACATTTAAACCAAATTTGACCCAACATCATAGTTTTCCATTGAATCCATGATTTGATCCTTAGCAAAGTGTGAGTAGTATACATGTCAGTGCTCGAGATATAACATGAAAATCAAAACAAAGAACCTTAATGCAAAAAACTGAAGTCTTGGGGGTTCCTTCTTTATGAACCTCAGTAAAATGAGATCTATTACTCTGATACAATACTTCCTTAGTTTACAGGGGCGGTGGTGTAGCCTGAAGGTGAAAGCATTTGCTCATCACACAGAAGATCCTGGTTCGATACCCCACATGGGTACAATGAGTGAAGCCCACTTTAGCACCCATTTTATTGCTGGATATTGCAGCATGAAAGTAAACTCACTCATTCTTTAGTTTAATCTGGGACATCTGAATGAAGCATTCAGACAATCACTCCTTATTTCGCCATTTTGAAAACCAATATAATGAGTGAGTGAGTGAGTTTAGTTTTACGCCGCACTCAGCAATATTCTAGCTATATGGCGGCGGTCTGTAAATGATCGAGTCTGGACCAGACAATCCAGTCATCAACAGCATGAGCATCGATCTGCACAATTGTGATACGATGACATGTGTCAACCAAGTCAGCGAGTCTGAGACCCATTAGTCGCCTCTTATGACAAGCATAGTCGCCTTTTGTGGCAAGCATGGGTTGCTGAAAACCTATTCTACCCCGGATCTCCACGGGTCTACCAATATAATGAGGGAATTCCAAACTTATGTTATGTACTACTACATGATTTTGCATTCTGGCATTTCTGAGTGCATCTCCTTCCAAAAAAGATTCCAGTTTTGATGGTACACTTGATTGGGATGTTTAGTCTTGCATTCTACGACCCCCTTAGCAACATGCACTACAAGTGCCGACTGACTGAACAGACCAACTGATGCTTACCAGCTGATATTTTCCTCATGACTTTCCCAGACCGTTTCAAGGTGAAGGTCATGGGAGCAGTAAAACCATTTCTGTATCCAGCTTCTCCAGGTTCGGGAATCCTCCTGCACATAAACAAACTGCCATTGTAGCATTGTCAAATTTACTGGGCTTGTATGCAGGATGTTCTGAAGTCACCTGTGAATACGCTTGCTGCTTTGTGGCTTGCCACAGCCTGCTTTCATTAGTTTCAACGAACACCAGAACGTCATGACACCAATAGGTGTAGGTGCGTCAGATGTTTGCGGTATTCTTTCCATCACATTCTACATCCTTGGGGTTATCTATTGTAGGAACTCCTTCAATGTCTGACTGACTAACTGACTGAGTTTAGTTTTACACCGCTTTTAGCAATATTCCAGCAATATCACGGCGGGGACACCAGAAATGGGCTTAACACATTGTGCCCATGTGGGGAATCGAACCCGGGTCTTCGGCGTGACGAGCCAACGCTTTAACCACTAGGCTACCCCACCGCCCCCCTTCAATGTCTGACAGTGGGATGGTTCACACAAGTTTTACAATGGAATGTGGCTCATTTGACGTCAGTGACGTTCTCATTGCATGAGCTTACCAGACCTGGGCATGTTACCATTACAGATCACAGTGACTGAATACATGCATGGGTGATGGAGAAACAGTGTATAAATAACAATGCTATTATAGTCTCACTTTTACCATTATATAAACACAAAATGTCATTGATTTCATTTAGTGACGATTTCAACAAAGGTAACAACTTAACAACTGACTTCATTTCAGCATACACTATCATTTCAGCATATCAGCTTTATACTAAAACACAGTGTGAATTTAGAATATTTCATTTGGTTGACAGTCCATAGCAGGTGTCTGTTCTGCACTGTACAGTACTGGACAGCCATCATTGTGTCAGATGTTAGGCCACTTGTCTTGCCTATTGTGTTACCTGTGAACAGCTTCTATGTTATCTGCTGCCAGCTGTTGACTTACCCATTGTGCTAGCTGTTGTGCCACCTGATGTGTCAGCTGTTGCTGCCTTGTCTGTTAGCTGTTGTGATACATGTTAGCTGTGGCATTACCTATTGTATTACCTGTTGTGTTAGCTGTTATGCTACCTGTTGTAACCGTTTTTGTTATCTGTTGTTACCTGCTAATAGCTGCTATGTTACCAGTTGCCTCAGCAATTATGTTATCTGATGTTAGCCATTGTATTACCTGTTGTGTCAGCTGTTATTCTACCTGTTGTTACTGTTTCTGTTATGTCAGCTGTTATGCTACCTGTTGTTACCGTTTCTGTTGTGTTAGCTGTTATGCTACCTGTTGTTACCGTTTCTGTTATCTGTTGTGTCAGCTGTTATGCTACCTGTTGTTACCGTTTCTGTTATGTCAGCTGTTATGCTACCTGTTGTTACCGTTTCTGTTGTGTTAGCTGTTATGCTACCTGTTGTTACCGTTTCTGTTATCTGTTGTGTCAGCTGTTATGCTACCTGTTACCGTTTCTGTTATCTGTTGTGTCAGCTGTTATGCTACCTGTTGTTACCGTTTCTGTTATGTCAGCTGTTATGCTACCTGTTGTTACCGTTTCTGTTATGTCAGCTGTTATGCTACCTGTTGTTACCGTATCTGTTATCTGTTGTGTTAGCTGTTATTCTACCTGTTGTAACCGTTTTTGTTATTTGTTGTGTTACCTGTTCTGTTAGCTGTTGGGCCTCCTTGTTTTTCTTGGAGACAAGCTGGCGATCAAGTGGCGCTATGGGTGGCATGGGCTGGATGCCATGCTTGTAGGTGGCCAGAAGGTAGAAGCGCAATGTGGCTCTGAAATAACACAGACATCAAATTACATGGGGATGTGAAATTGTGTCTTTCATGAAACTCCCACATGTATTTTCTACCACAGGGCATTCACAAATATGTTTAGCTTTGTCCATTTGAAGTACAGGGTGCCAGTTAGAGGGCTATGTTTGATCCACCTTCAAACAAAGAGAGCATGACAGTGTCATTTCACAAAGATAAGGTATTAACCATATACAGCTTACAAACTACAGCCTCTTCCTTTCCAAAGAGATTTAAAACTGTATTAAACAAAGTTATTTTGTGAATCATAATGTGCACAGAATGAGTTTGTATCATTCAGTCATGTCAAAGTTGAAGCACCTCTCCCATTCCTTTCCACAGTAAGCAATTCTGTCATTCTGCCATGGGAATTAATTCATGTTTCCTTAAGACATTTAACCCAGTACCTGTCACATTGTATCTTACAGTCTATGATCCTGGGTGGCACAAGACTCAAAACATGTAGCACACAATTCACAAAGGTCAATGTTGTGTAGTCAGCCCAAATCCTGACAAGCCCAAGTCAACATCACAGAGCTCAGTGTATGGAAATGATCAGGGTCAACATCATTTGTAATCTGATGAATGAAGTTGAGAACCTACTTGCATATCTGAATAGTTGCTATGACGATCCACTTCCCTACTTCTCCCCAAAGTTTGTTAGCAGCGACCTCAACAAACACCTCTACGTACTCCAACACCGTCAGCGTGCCAGCAGCTGCCCCAGACGGCTCCTGAGACAGCGCTCTGAAATGTATATAATGATGATTGACACAAACTGTCTACAGTCCAACACATAATAACCAAATATCATGATGAAGTATACAAAGTCTAAACCATCCTGTTACCAGCTGGTTATTGGTGATTCACTCAATTAAATGAAGATTGATTGGTGGTCCAAAAAAACAAGCATTTGGACGCCATTATCTATGATTTATGACAGCTTACCAGTGCTACCACGTGGGATATGTTGTAAGTCCAAACAACCAAGCATTTGGACCCCATTATCTATGATTTTAGACAGCTTACCTGTGCTACCATGAGGGAGTTATTGTGAGTACAAACAGGATATTCACACAAGGAATACTTACTGCTTATATCTTCAGTGCTTCAACTACTGATAAATGTCAACTGCAAAATAAATATGCTTAACCTACCACTTTGGGAATAATCTTGGCTGTTTGCTTGAGGATGGCATCATTGAGAAACACCAGTAGGTTTGAAGATGTGTACATCAGCTCGGACAGAACCTGTGCATTGCGCAGTCGACCTGTTGACAGAGTTTTATTTAACAACAGTCAAAGATAGTCTTCTCCACCTTACCCAGCTTGGGTTTGCCACAACATTTCAGTCATGACACAATACCTCATGATATTTTCCACAATTATCGGGGAACTACCACATCTTCCATGTGCCCTGGCTAACATTAATGACAAGAGGGTGTTTCAGTTGCTAAGTATGTGTTGGTGCAAAAGACTGGATAACTAAATGTTTGTATTGAGTTATGTAGTTTTGGCCAAAGGTGCTAAGGTAATGCTAATCATACTAATTATCAGATTGGGTTATTGAAAAACTTTGCACAGTGTTTCTGCTGGACATTCTGACTGGCTAGCACTTCGAATACCGGTCATTTGTAAAATTTACCGGTCAAGTGATCATGCTTTTCATTGTAAGCGAGACCTTGCAACCTAACAACCAATAAAATATTTAGAAGGTATTTCAAAGCATCAATGCCACTATTTTTAGCCTGGCGTTTTCCAAAACTACTATTTTTTTATTTGACAACACCTTGATGTCATTGTGAAAACAATCTTTTTTCGAGGAGAAATAAAATTGACAGAGGTAATTAGAAAATTGATTTTTATCTGGTATATACCAGATAACGGAAACACTGTTTGCAGATATTACTTTTTGGAAAAATCATTATCCATGAATGAAACAAATTTTGTACCACAAACTAAACAATATCGTAATGTGATTTTTTTTATCAATGTAAATTCATTCCTTGGATGCAGGTAGACAATACTAAAACTGGAATATACTGAGTGAGTGAATGAGTGATGTTTTATGCCACCTTTACTTTAGCAACATTCCAATAGCTCTGTGGGGAACACTAGAGTGAGTGAGTTAAAATTTAACGTCACATCGGCAATATTGCAGCCATATCGTGACGAGGGGGACACTAGAAATGGGGTGAAATATAGAGAACGTCACACTGTAATAGATTTCAAAAAGCATTATGTGGAGGAAAGTCACATCACAGCTTGAAGTTAACCAGGCTAATGATTAAGTTTCTTAGCCCACAACCTACAATGTGACCGTAAGGGTTATCACCAAAAAATTATACCAAGATTACCAAGTCAACAGCATCCACTTGGTCGTTTTAAATCACATGAGCAGTAGCCATTTTCTCCATGAAACTCAAACCTTGACTACATCACATCACCCTGCTGTAACAGGGTTTATGTGATGAGGGATGTGCATCCAGTATGAACTAACATATACCATGTATACAATGGCCACAGACACTGATACTCATTGTATCCAATTCTAGATACAAATTATATAGTTCCAGAGGCCCAAACAAGCTGCGTATCCGGGTAAAATATGCATGGAAAATTTCCAATTACGCATTGAAAAATAATTGTTGTGTACCAATTACGCATTTAAAATGTTACATACGCAAAAGGTTTAAAACAAATGTGTACGGAATATATTTATAAAAATCGCTTGCGTAATGAAAAAGACATTGATTGCTATCAAGTTGTACTGATAGTATAGGACAAGTGTTGTACTGTTAGTATAGGATGAGTGATTTGTTTATGAAATCATTTCCATTATATTTAAGCTGGTTTTGATTAGGTATGACATAAGGCAGAACATACCTGCTTAGTAAACTTACTCAATGACATAATACTTAGGTGAGTAAAATGACCGAAATACGCACATATTTGAAAGCTGTGGGTAACGGAAAATGAAATACCCACTCAACATTCATAATACCCACTCCAAAAAAATACAGTGGGTACAGTACCCACATGAGCTAAATCTTATCTGGAGCTCTGTAGTTCCTGTGAATATAACTTCATAGAATACTGTACGATTCATCCTTGTTGAATGAAAGAAATGCCTAACCCATACCCTACCTTACAACTAACCCAAAGGATTGTAAAAGTTAAAAGGGTCCGAAAACCTGCTCTGTGGGTAACGGAAATGGTGTTGGCATATACGGTGTTAGCAAAACGTCACATCTATTGCAATAAAGTTGCCGATTCATAAATTGTTTTCCTTTTCTTAGATGTGTGACCCAGCAGAAGATGGGTACCCGATAGGATAAGTCATGTGAGATGTGCATTTCCCAAAACAAAGCGAAAATAGAAAACGTTCAAAGGTTGTGATAAGGCCGAAATCGAGCCTGGTCTAACCCGTGTCTGTTAATTACACGACTGCCACGACATGTGACTGTCTGTGACAATCGCCTTACCTGCAATGACATACGATAACAAACGGAATGTCGTCTCAACCTGACCAACTGTGTCAGGATTTTCGCGAACACTCCGTTTGTATTTTTCACACACGTTCTTCAGCAACTCCGACATGTCCATTTAGTGTGACGAACCGAAAGTGTTTGAAACGTCAATGTTCATTTGTTGTTATATTTGGTGTAGAGCCAATCAGAGTCCGCGTAACATCTGCAGCCCCTGGCTCTAAGCTGGTTCCACACAGTGTTTTAGGTATCGCTGTGTTACATCTACATCACCGAAGGTCGCTGATGAGAGCTAGAAGAAGAATGTGGACGTATTAACCGGATGCAAGAAATTTGGAACATCATTATGTTCAAAAGTAAGCTCGTTTTACGAAACAAGTGGACGTTACAGTCACCAAATATACGGCCTGAAAAAATTACAGTAAGTTGCTTTGTTTAAATCAGTGTATCCATGACCTAAGCATTGAAATACATCACGAACATACGCGAACTGATTTGCACCGAAAGATAATTTTTTGTGCGCGAATTTACTTATACGATTGGTTCGTTTCAGACATTGGTAATACTTTTGTTAGTTTGGTTAACATATGAACACTCTTGTTCCGGATTTTTGCATGACCGTTGTAATGTAACGTTTCATTGGTTGTAGCCATGTTGACAAAGAAAGATAATCTATCGTCCTCCTCTTCCGAAAGATGAATCAGAAGTGATTTCTGTTGTCTGAAACTATTACTAATTCAGAAGTAAGTATAACACGCTAAAAGAAATCTGGTTGTAATCAACGTTGAAAAAAAATAAGAAAACACCGCAAAGACACCTATTTTCGATATAACGTTGTACTCGACAGCTCGGATGGCATGTGACAATGACTTGAAAGAATACTTTTCAAAATATATGGCAATGATAAATAACCACATTATTGTATGTTTTAAATTACAAGACGTAAATAGTTGCAGAAAAATAAATATTAGGATTTACGTGAAATTATTAAATGTCATTCTGATATGTTTTTGTTGTTTTTTTTCAGTTTTTCTTTTATCCAGGAATTTACAAGTATAACTACTAAGGACATGTCAAATATCAAGTGGATGTTGTCAGTTGCTGGTGCTGAGATTTGAGCCTCCCCAAGGTAGATCTATTTGTGTTCGCCTAAACATTGTCACTTATAGCAGAACATAACAAAGCGTCCATGCAGTAAATATCTGAATATTTATGAAAATCCTATTTTGTGTATACTAAGTAGTCACACCTGTTGCACCCACTGCTTGAATCAGTCATTGTTCATAGAGTGATTCACTCAACAGGCACCTGTAATAAATTATCAGAATATAGATTTGTTCCTAATGGGCCCATGGGAAACTACACTCCAAATATGTCTCAGACTTCAAGCCTTAAACAGCAAGATATATCCTTTGCAGGATTTCTTATGTTGCTTAAGGACATATGCTATACTGAAAGGTTTATTGCAATGAAAAATAATAAATTTAGTTATTTTACTAGGAAATGGCATAACTAAGATACCCTACTCTGACATTTTAATTTAGCATGCATACAATTTGACTTACTCAAACTAATGTATCCGGCCTACCTTTAGAATACAGCACCACAAACTTTAAAAATACGTCATAATACCCTTTTACGTAATATAATGTGATTTTGTTCGAAAGCACGTTCTCGAAACAATGCCCTATGACGCCTGCATGGCAACACGGTTGTCTGGCTCAGCGAGTGCGTATAAGCTCCGCTCACTGGTGTTTCATCTCTACGAGCTATGTCATTGCATAAGCCCAACGATGTTGAGAGTTTCCAGTAGTTGTATACCGGGGATGCGCAATATTTTGCAAGCACCAGTTTGAAATATTTTTCTTTTTTCACTAATACGCTCATATTTATTTGTATTACGGGCTGCTGAGGTGTTATGTTTTGTGTATTTTGTATTTTTTAATTTTTTTAATTTACATATATATATATTTGTCATTCAGTAATTTGCACCATTACATAGAAAAGTGTTTTATTAGTATTTTATTTTTCGAAGCGGTAATAATGCATTACACTAGACACGTCAGTGGTGTTTGCGCCTATTTATTAGGATTAATTCAAGGGATTGGGGTTAGGGCTAGGGCTAGGGCTAGGACTAGGGTTAGGGTTAGGGTTTAGGGTTAGGGTTGGGGTTGGGGACCTAATGCAATATATAGTACGTACATGTCCGGGTGGTTCGGTCAATGCATTCTATTTATTAGGATTATTTCAAGGGGTTAGGGTTAGGGTTAGGGTTAGGGACCTAATCCAATATAGCAGGTACATGACCGGTGTAATACGTGAGTACCATTTGTTGTTTTTCCTTTTTGCATTTTAATACTTTTTTTTCACACAAAAACGGGAAACCAAAAACGTCGAAAGTACATTATGCAATGGGTTAATGTCGAAATTTTGGGCTAATGGAAATTGGTCTGGAATTTGCACTCAAGCCTCTTTCACACGCAACATAAATTTTGTAAAGTAATGATTCGAAGGCTAACTCACCCGAGTGCCGTCACTACACATGCTTATGTCTCCCTCGTTCCTTAGTGCGATCCACATTATCCTTACAGTGTTCCCTACATCACTTTTCTGTCACAAAATCACCGATTTATATAAAAAAGCGTCATTCATGCATGCACCGTGAAATCTACGTCTGACGCCTGGCGTCAACAACCCTTTTCAGTTTGAGGCATATCGGCTCATTCCACGCCACACGTTAATTTGTAGATTACGGAATGGTACGAGTGTGCCAAATGGCATCGGATCCATTCGGCAATTGTCCGGAGAATAAAATCACGAGACACCAAGTCTACCCGTAGCATTCGTAATTGTCCGTGACCTATTCGACTCTTTCCATTCATTTCCGTGACGTCACAGGAATGACTCGATAAATTTGCACATTGTGCAACAGTGTGGACGTAGCTCAGTCGGTTAGCTGTCGAGCTAACAATCCGAAGGTCGCGGGTTCGCCTCCGACGGGTTCTCACAAACTGGTTGCTTGTCTTAATGACACGTGACCTACGGCAGAGATCGTCCTCACGAGAAGTTGTGGTGCTGTATTCTAAAGGTGCTCCATGTATCCAATACAGTTATAACATTGTCACCTAGCTCCTGTCTATCTATATAAGTACACCCTCATATGTGTGTACAATTTTGTACATCAACTTGATGATGTAACTGCCAACACATGTCACTCTTCTGTCTGTACATGCAACTTGAAATGGAATAAAAAAGATAAAAAAAATAAGTTTCTGACTCTCTACTCCTTGGGTCGGCACTGTGCTACAGTGTAATCAATTCCCTCCTAATTCTCCCCACTACTTGACTTTCAAGGATCCATGAAGATAAAGTAGAAACAGGTTGTAGTGAAATTTGTATTGTGTTATTATTTTATGGATTTCTTTACTGTACATTGCTGAACTTAGCCTCTTTACATATATTGATAAGTTCATGACCTTGTGGGACAATGCAAATACATTTCACTTTCATTTTTGGCTGGTATCCTGAGTTTATAAACTTATCTCTCTTGAGATATATTTGTCATATTTGTCCCACAAAAGATTCAGGAATTTCTTGTCAGATTTGAACGTTTACCCCACTTACTTATAAAGACTCCTATACACTCCACAGCTGTTGTTGTGTCTGATGTTAGTGATGTTGTGTTGTAGATGTTGGTGCGGCTTAAGAAGAAGCTGCTGCTCCTGACACTGATCCTGGGTGCCATTCCTGTCATCTTCATGCTGTACCTCGTCATCAGCACAGATGGTGAGGGATGCCTTTCTGTCTCAGTAGATATTATTTTAAGTTATCTCAATTACAGTGACGTGACCTTCGGTTGGTTGCTTTGTTGTTTAACTCCGCACTCTGCAATATCCCAGCTATATGGCAGTGGTGTGTAAATAACTGAGTCTGGACCAGACAATCCAGCGATCAACAGCATGAGCATCAATCTAAGCAAATGGGATAGTTAGTGAGCCTGACCACCCAATCCCGTTAGTCGCCTCTTACGACAAGCATGGGTTACTGAAGACCAATCCTAACCCAGATCTTCACGGGTTGACGTTAGGAGTGACAGAAGCTTATGAGTGTGGGTTTATCATTCTTGCGTTTGACAGCAGCATCACACCCATGTTTCTGTTTCTAGCCAAAGTGGTAAACGTTTAAAATCTACATTGCTTTGTGCCCCCATGAGCTGACATGACATACTATAACTGAAATCCTATTGTTAGATCCTATTGGTCGACTACTGTTAGATGAAACTCATGCTCTCCGTATCTCAATTTGCATATTTCAAAATCTTAATCAATATGTTTACAGTATTTCACTTAATTGTTGTGAATAAGTGAGTATGGTTTTACATTGGCTTTAGCAATATTCCTTCAAAATCACGGTGGGGGACACCAGAAATAGGCTTCACACATTGTGCCCATTAGGGGAATTGAACCTGGGTCTTCAGCGTGACTAGCAATGCCTTAACACTAGACTAACCCACCACCCTCTTAACTATTGTGCCACAGCAATACAACACTCCAGGGTTGGAAATAACCCATTGCCCGACGCCCAAGTCCAGTGTTTTTTTCTGTCGGGCAAGCAAATTTGTATATCACACTGTACCGGTGTCCAGTTGACTTTCCAATATTAATTATGTTGTTTGTTTAAAAAATCAACAAGAAAACGGCCGGTATAGTGGAAAAATTATCAGGGCAAGTGATTTTACATGTGTCACTGTACCGGAGTACACTAGCAATTTTAAAGTTATTTCCACTCCTGCACTCATTTTAGCCACAACCTTGTAGATGTGGTAGACATTGTGTTGTGGTAACCTGACCATGCTAACAGTGTCAGGTGTGTTCCAAGTCAGCCACTGGATGATAGCGTAGCCGATTGGTTAAAGCAATGTTTTTTAACGCCAAAGACCCAAGTTAAGTTTCACATGAGTACAATGTCTAAGGCACATTTTTGGTTTTCCCTGCTGCTGTGATATTGCTGAAATAAATGCTAAAAGAGACATGAAACTATACTCACCTGCTCACTGGTATGTCTGGTCCAGACTCAATTATTTACATGCCAAAATAATACAGCTGGAATATATTTTTGAAAGAAGCACACAATATTTTGTCACTGTTGCTTAAAAGAAGTAATAGAGAATCTTGCTAATTTATTAATTTCATTTTGACTTACCACTTATGTAAACTTTGTCCAAGAGATGAAAATATACATGATTGCGTAAAATGCTGTATGCAGTTATTTTATGTATTGTTATGCGTATTTGTTTGTTTTGTGGTCAGTGTGGTATTCAAGTAATGCCATCCATCTTCAGTATGATTGCCAGTTTTGTAAGTGATGAGCACAAACTTTCAGCCAAAGGTTCTGCCACCATTTTTATCTCTCCCTCAGAAATAAAGGGGGATTTGAAGGGTTTGAAATCATTGCTTCCATAGATGAATGTCACTTTCGGTTACCAAAGTCATGAGGTAGCTGTACACTATTATTAAACATTCAGGTAATGTTTCCATCTTTACACTACTGCCTAAAAGTTAGTTCCCTTTACATGCATGTGGAAACCGTGACACAACCCGTGTGACACACCTGTTCGCCATTGACGACCTTCGCCTTAACCTGCCCCACACTGAAAAGAGTCAGCGATTTGATGGGACATATTTTATTTTTAGCAAATGAGCTCCCTTGCTCTTTTCAGTGCGGGGCAGGTTAAGGCTAAGGTAAATCAATGGCTTAACGGCACTGACTACTAATTCAGTTTGCGATAAATAAATGTACGTAAACTCATTATGACAGTGAGATGTAAGTGTCTCCGAAAGAATGGCGACTAGCACGCTCACAGGCGCCATCAGTTCAACATGTTTTGGTGCATGTTGTTTGTGTATACTGTGAAATAAACAAGAAAATGGGTGAGTTACCGCTACAAATTCTGAGCAGGGATTTTGGCTCGGAATCAAGAAATCACGATTTTTCGAGCTTCCGAAGACCCTAGTTCCCAAAGTACTGCTTCGTGTTTTGTGCTGTATGTCTCATTTTGTAGGTAAATCTATTTGCTTGAAATGTGTGCATACTTTAAATGGGATTAATACAGTGAGCAATGTTGAATTCGCCCTGAAACGAACCTGGTGTGTTGACCTCGTTACATCCCTTTCCTTTTATATAGTACTAAGACCCCGTCAGTGACAGTATATACCTTGATGGCAGTTTTTAGCATTACAATCCCCATTGTGACACACCTTGCTCACGAGTCGCATTGGTCACTCGTGTGCAACACGTGCCACACGCATCTCGGAGGGAACCATAGGAGGTCATAACAGAGAGATCAGTTTTAAATGATCTGATAAGGTCTTTTAAGATGTGATCTTGCAGGAAAATGCGAGTGATGTAATCAATCAGGCCTATCTTATATATGACCTTTGGTTTGTACATGCGTTAAAAATGATAATAATAATAATAAGGGTACTTATACCGCGCAATGCTCCACATCACAAAGGGGCATGCTCAAAGTGCTCACAAACACCACAACATTATTAACCCGGATACCCAAGCTGCCTGTAAGGCGCTAGAAGGTTATAGTCATTTGACTTATCTTTCCGGGTACCCAGTTTCTGCTAGGTGAACATAGGTAATTTTCAACAAACTCACTTGACTAAGGTGAGACGACATGTATCACGTGTTCGTTGTGGGGTAGGACTGAAGTCCTAGCAACATCTCAGGGGTCAAGCTGCCAAACACAAACACCCATCCAAGGGCTGTCCGAGCTCGACGTTGCTTTGTGACCTGAGCTCTATGCACAGGACCATGCGTCATCATAATACACGCTTTGACATGGTGTTCTTGTCATTGAAAGGTTTGTGTAAATTCACATTAAACAATGTGCTAAAGTTGGTACTTTACCCACTGCACAAGTGGTTGTCATCATTTCCTGGTCATCAGTATATTGCTTTTTTGAGCAATTAGTGGTACCACCCCCCACCCTCTGCTGATGACAAATAAACAGGTGTAGGTTTATATTAAAAAGATCATGGTGATATGACAGCAAGGGAGTATTGATTGCTGTATTGCATGCAAGTTTAATTGCCCAAAAAACTGGTCACGAAGTGGGAATGGGATATCGGTTTGAGTTCCATCTCTCCATCCGAGATGATGGGGACAGATTTTCTCAAAACACGTTATAGATAGGTAAGCCAAATTTGGTATGTGTTTTTTGGACATGAATGCCTTGATGGAGTTCAAAAACTGAAACCACGCTACAATTTGTATGGCCCTTGTTATGCGTTTCTTGGCTTAGTGCACGGTATCACCAATGTTGACAGATTTTCTCAGAAACCGTTATAGATAGGGAAACCAAGTGTGGTATGTATTTTCAGGACACAAAAAGCGTTGATGGAGTTCGAAAACAGAAACTGTGTTATGATTCTTTACAGAGTTATAGCCCTTGCCATGCCTTTCTTGACTTAGTGCACGTTATTGCCAATGGGAACAGATTTTCTCAGTAACCTCTATAGATAGCCAACTGTGGTATGTGTTTCCAGACATGAATGTTGTGGTGGAGTTTAAAACAGGAACCAATAGGAACAGAACACTGTGGAATGGGATAGTGATGACCATGTCTTCTTGTTATTTATATGGTTACAGAGGCCCAGATAAGCTGCGTATCCGGGTAAAATACGAATAGAAACTTTCCAATTACGCATTGAAAAAATAATTGTTGCGTAACAATTACGCATTTAAAATGTTAGATACGAAAAAAGTTTAAAACAAATGCGTACGGAATATATTTATAAAAATCACTTGCGTAATGAAAAAGACATCGATTGCTGTCAAGTTGTACTGTTAGTATAGGACAAGTGTTGTAATGTCAGTATAGGATGAGTGATTTTCTATGAAATCATTTCCATTATATTTAAGTTGGTTTTGATTAGGTATGACATAAGGCAGAACATACCTGCTTAGTAAACTTGCTCAATGACATAATACTTAGGTGAGTAAAATGACTGAAATATGCACATATTTGAAAGCAGTGGGTAACGGAAAATGAAATACCCACTCAACATTCATAATACCCACTCCAAAAAAATACAGTGGGTACAGTACCCACATGAGCTAAATCTTATGTGGAGCTCTGTGGTTACGTGACGATCTTCCTGAACCAGCGCCTCGACTTTCTTCACAGTGTCCATATCATAGTCAGCAAGGGGAGTCCACTTCTTAGCTTATCTGTGAGGGACATATGACCGATTTGAAAATTTCTTTCCATCTCACAACAGTATCATAAGGTGGGCGATCTTCACCATAAACAGATTTCATCTCCTCGTGAATCTGTCGGACAGAGCAGCCCTTCAAGTGCAAAAACTTGATAACACTGCACGCCTCAATTTTCTCCATAATGGGGTTACTCATGTTTTGGATCAACAAGCACAAGATTGAATAAAGTGAAGTAAATAGATTTGTTCCATTTACTTGATAAGGATCACTGATGTTACCTTCAAATTTTGATCATAATTTCTCAATATATTCAATGGCGATAATTAGAACATTTTGATATCCCTTTGTGTTACAATCAGACTAAAACTACAGGTGATATTTTCAAATAATGGCATCTGATGGGCATCCACCATTCTTATTATCTCATTGCTTAGATTGAAGAAATTCTGCCAAGGTAGACAGCTGCCCAGTCCCTGTGTCTGTCACGGTCGAGGAAGCAGGTGCTGCCCAGCCTTGCAGCAAGAAATTGGTGGCGCGAAACATGATTCGCTCTGCAT